CTAGAAAACAGGAATCTTATTTGATGGATAAAGCTGCCTGATCTTTGCTCCAGAGAGACACAGTCTCTGTCTTCAAGACCATTTTTTCCCTACAAATATTCTCAAAAACCTAGTCTAGAGCCAAGATGTCCAGATGACTGGATGTGCAGAGGCATATAAAGAGGCCACGGAGAACCACCACATACACAGACAGGACTGTGCTAGATGAGAGCAGAGATGGCCAGTTCACTAGGGGCATGGAGGGCGAGGGCTCCAGTGGGAGGCTGCTGTGGCTGCCGCTGCACAGAACCTGGTAGCTGTCCCTCAGGATATGTTACCTGGAGAAAATTAGTTTTATTGTGACAGTTCCCATAACATAAAATATAGTTCAACCATGGTTGCCTTCATCCCTTTCTGTCAGGCTATCTTGCCTCTTGTCTTTCTCCTTCCATACCCCTAACAGCCCTCCACATTTTACTTTCATGTCCTTTCCTTTCCCCTTCAAGATGTTTTAAAAGCCAGAGGGAAGAGAGTAACCAGAAAATCTCTTAGAAGAATATTTTTCTTTGCTATTTTTGGAAAAGTAGGTAGAGCGCTTGAAAGAGTTAACTATTAAAATTTTAAGCCAAATTACAAAAAAAAATTAATAATAACCAAAATCTTGATAGTTGCATAATGAATATCATATCTATGCTTTTAGAGGGGTAGTTCTTTAAAAAGCTAGAGGACAAGTGTGAATCATAGCACTCACCACATCAGGGTCCTAGTGTGACCATGTAGGAGTTGAGTGTATTTATTTGACCATTTAATGTATTGTTCACTCTTTCTGAAAGGTTAGGATGTAATAGATAATTTATATTTTGGGATGCTTTTCTAGTCTCCCGCTCTAGCTCCCAAATAAAAGACACAGAGACTTACTAGATTTATAATAAGCTTTAGACTCAATAACTGGGCAGATATCATCTAAGCTAGTCTGGCTACTTCCCAGCCACACGCCTCTGGTTCCTTGCCCTATATCCAGTTTGGGCTGTTTCTGGTCCATCAGGTCAATTTCTCATGGTGACATCCTCTCTGTCTCTCTGTCCTTTCTTCTTTCTCCCCTCATGGTTCCTACCTGAGACCCCCAAATCTGGGACAGAAATTTCACCCACCTCTCTTCTGCCCAGCTATGGGCTATTCAGCTTTTTTTTATTAACCAATCAGAGATAATTGGGGAGCAAAGTTTATACAGCATTGATTAGAGTACTTGACAATGCACTTGTCCCAACTGCAACCATATCTCGGAACCCAGAAATCAGCATTTGTATACACAGAGCACCCGATAGCAGGATTGCAACTTCTTTTCTTCCTGAGTGACTATGCTCTTATTTCCCAAGCCCCATTTTGCCATGCAGATCTCTCCTCTCCAAGGCTCCCAGTTCTCCAAGAGACTTAGGATTTTTCCCAGACACAGTTTTCAGACTTGCCTTTGCCATTATTTATGAACATTGCAAAAATCTGTGTGGGCGAAGGTTCAAATGAGAGTGGTCTGCATATTGGTGAGCTGTTTAGGAAGGATTAGGAGGTATGGTCTTGTCACTGGGGTGGATTTGAGGTTTCAAAAGCCCACACCATGTCCAGTCTCATTCTGTCTGTTGGCCTGCATTTTGCAAATCAGATATGAGCTCTTTGCTACTGCTTCAGCTCCATACCTGCCTATCTGTTGCCATGTGTCCTGCAGTGAGGATCATGGACCTACACTCTGAAGCTTTAAGCAAGCCCTCAATTAAACACTTTAAAAAAAAATGTCTTGGTCATGGTGTCTCTTCACAGAAATAGAACAGTAACTAATTCTCTCTCTCTCTCTCTCTCTCTCTCTCTGTGTGTGTGTGTGTGTGTGTGTGTGTGTGTGTGTGTGTATGTCGTGGGCCTGGAGTAATCTAAGATACAGAAATTTAAATTGGAGTGAGTTAGCTCAAGTTGAAAGGCTCTCTTGGTGTATTTGCTAGCATGAGATGGCATAGCACATAGATGTTACACAAACACATGAAGATAGAGAAAACACAGCACCTTTGGGAACTTGACATTGAACATAGATTGCTCAGTGAGTCTCAGATTTGGGACAGGCTAGAGCAAGTAATGCCAAGGAAGAGGCCCTTACCTTTGTGTCTGTTCTCCTGGTCTCACTTTCCAAGAGGGAAGGGATGTTTCCCCTCCACAGACACTGAGACAAAGGGAAAACACGAAATGAAGGATGTAGGGGTCATGTAGACGGTAGCAGTACAATTTATGGTCTTCATTTTTAAAGGGCCATCGCTACAGTGACGTTGTTTGTCTTCACCTGCATCTGTCCTCCCCTTAGGGGATGGATGGCCATCCTTTAATCCATTCACTAGCTGAGTCTAGGCAGGTGTGACGGGGCGTGGGTACATCTCCTCTTCAGTCACCGCTACCATGCCATTCCAAGCACCGTGAATAATTGCTATGAGATTAAATGGCAACTGTTGGGCTGACTGTGACCTTAAATTCTCCACAAGAGCCTCAATGTCCTCCCTTCTCCCTTCCTGATTAGTAAGGCACCAGTAGAGGTTTATTTTCTTGTAAAGAATTTAGTGTCTTTAGTAGCTAGGTGGTCCAGGTCATGATTTGTAAGTTTCTTGGCTCAGAGTGAAGCACGATTTTTGACTCCCCAAATGGCCAGATGGAAGTTTCATAAATAAGTTCTTTTAAGAATAATAATTTTTAGTAAAGCCAGTTATCGAGCACCTGTCAGGGCAGTCAGTGATGGAGCTTGTCTTGCGTTTGGTATCTAAAGTCCATTTTGGGTTATAGCTTCTCGTGGGTCGCATAGACACTGGGCAAAGGCTCTGTGTTCCTGGCATTCTACCGGTCCTTGTCAGGGCCGCAGGAGAGTGAAAGACTGATCTTGCCGTAAAGACAAGAGAAATGGCTGACACCATCATAAAGATACTAATCCTAGCCTGCCTCCAATTTATTGTGGTGACAGGCCTTCAGTGGTCCCTGGCCTCCCCTGTAGGCTGAGAAACGGGGGACCTGACAGCAGAGCTGTGAGGAGACAGTGTCGCGTAGACAGAGCTAGGGGAGACTGTGTCAGCTGTGTGGCACCGAGCTGCAAGGGGGCCTTCTCCTGGGGAGCAGGGAGAGCTGAAAGGGGGGCAGCCCGGAAGCTGTGTTGAAGGGAAATGGGCAGAAGAAATTCTGCTCTGGAAGAGTGTAAGGCCAATCTCGGAATGTGCAAGGACAAAGGCACTGATCAGTGAAATTAGTTTGAGCTGAGGGGTGTTGTTTATCTGTCCATCCTTCTGTCTGTCTATCTATCTCTGTGTGGTAATGGTGCAGGCTTTTAACTCCAGGACCTGGGGTGCAGAGGCCAGTGAATCTCTAATTTCTAGGCCAGCCAGGGTTGCATAATGAGATTCTGTATCAGAAGAAGGAGGAGAAGAAGAAGAAAGGGTAAAGAACTTTGTATGCTATAGACACAAGGCGCTCGCTCTGAGGTAATCAACGAGTAATCCACAGTGATCAGTTTGTTAGTAACTTGACACACTCTAAAGCCGCCTGGGAAGAGGAAACCTCAATTGGGAAAGCGCCTCCCTCAGATTGGCCTGTGGGCAGTGACTTGATTAGTGGTTGATGGAGGAGGACCGAGCCCACTGTGGACAATGCCAACACTGGGCAAGTGGTCCTGGGTTATCTAAAAGGCCAGCTGAGCGAGCCAGGGAGAGCATTCCTCCATGGCCTCTGCCTTAGCTGACCTTGATAATTACCCTTTTCTCCCTATGTTGCCTTTTGTCATGGTGTTGACCACAGCAGTTGAAAGCAAACTCTAGGATGAGAGTCTGTTTACTGACCTCTTCAATATTTTTTGAGATTTTATTTCTATTGTTTTTATGTTTTGCCTGCATGCATGTCTGTGCACCACATGTGTGCCTGGGGAGGCCAGAGGGGGTGTGAGATCTCTGGGATATGGAGTGCCAGGTGATTGTTAATCATGTGGGTGCTGGGAATTGGACCCAGGTCCTCTGGAAGAACAGCCAGTGCTCTTAGCCACTGAGCCATCTCTTGATTTCAAACTCTAAGGAATGACCCAAATGTCAGATGGTTTGTGGCCCATTGGTCTGCCCTGTATAAACTCTAGGCTTTAGTTCTCCCTGGAGGAATCTTGATCGTCAGTAGCAAAGTTTTCTGAGTCCCACATGTAAATCTCAGCCTTAGAGTGCTGTGTGTTGGTCTGTGTCAGCTGTAGGCCATGTGTATAAGTTTGTGTGACTTTTCCTACAAGTAGAAGAAATGAGTAAGGACAGGTTCCATCACACATCCTTGGCTTAGGGTGTTTAACTTAGGAAACTGTGGAATCAGTACGCAGGTGGTAGACATGCTTTGAGTTTTCATCTTCTCTGGGGCTGGTCATAGGTGGGACTGTACAAGCCCAGGCAGCTGCGTGATTGCTGCTACCCACGTCAGCTGTAGCTCAGTTTGCAGTGTTCCAGCACATTTGTCTGGAGCTAACCTCATTCTCGGCCCAGGATCATCTGCATCTGAGAAGCCCATGGCACTATTTTGAGCTAGTGAACTGATTGCCTGCGGTAGGTAGGTTTCTGTTGCTGTGATAAAATACCATGACCTAAAAACAACTTGGGCAGGAAAGGGTTTGTTTCCACTTTCAGTTAAAGCCCAGCAAGGAAGGGAAGTCAGGGCAGGAACTCAAAAGCAGGAAACTGGAGGCAGGAAGTGAAGCAAAAGCCAAGTTGACAAAAACCAACCAGGACACTGATAATGGTAGTTTAGACAAGATCAGATTCTCCACAAACATGGAGAAGTTCAATAAAGTGTCTCTAGTGTGAGATGTCACTATTTGTGGAGAGGCTTAGGGTATCTCTTGGGAGGGTACGACAGGACTCTGTCCCTGTGGTATGAAGACACGTGAGTGTTGTCGTCCTGGCCATCAGAACTTGGACTGTTTTATAATCATTGTTATGAGTGTTCATGGTATTAATCCTGTCCTTCAAATGTATCCTCAGGCCAAGCCAGACCCGGCCGTCGATGGTGCAGTGGCTAAATATGCAGGCTTCCACCACAGCAAGCTCCAACCCAGCCGGTACACCTCCTTCTCCCAGGACGTCACCTTTCCCGGCCTCCCCTGCTGCCTCCCTTGTAGACAAGCTCCCTGAATGGTACGTGGTTAGGGATGCGATGTGGAATAAGGTAGTGGCACACAAGAGGGCCCTGGCAACCCTGTGAGGAAATGCTTGCCCTGTGCCCTTGGCACGGATAGTCGGCATGTTTCAGTGCTGTGCCTCCGCTCAGAAGCAAGTGCATTCACCTCCTGACATTGTCAGGATTGCCTTCCGGGCCCCTTACGACCAACCAGCCCTCTCGTTGCTCATGTAGAATGTTTCGGTACTTGCATCTGGCCTACACTCACCCCCCTACTTGAAATCGTCTCCTGGCAGGTTTTAACACCTAATAATGCAAGTGCTGTGCGAGCCTTTACTGCAGTGCATGGTTCAGGCCGTTAGAAAAAAGCTTGAGTGCCCTGCGCACTACAGATGCCATTTTTTTAATACTGTCAATCAGTGGCTGGTTGAATCTGTAGATGTGGAAGCTATTGACACTGCCACTTGCCAGTTCTTGAGAACAATTTGTAGTGGATGAGCCTTGTTGAAACCTACTCTCCTGTTTTGGATCTTCTTATCCATTCATGAAATTAGGTACTCTGGCAGAACTTCCTGTATGCAAGTGTAAAGCACCTTCTTTGTTGAGAAGGAAGGCAGAGTGGATGCTGGTAAGGTTAACTTCCATGGACAGCTCATGACCACTTAATAGAAGACAGAGGAGGAAGTCAGTCGCCCTGGCTGACATGATTCTCACCATCAGGGGCTTCCCTGTCTCCTGGAAGATTCGGCCTTTCTTTCTTCCTTGGCTTAGATCTGGCCAAGTGTGGCTTCCATCGTTCCCCCTCATGCGCTTCTTTTGGGAGGGCTCAGAACATGTTCTCACTAGTTAGAGCTGAGCCTTGTGTGCCTTTCAGGGGGCAGAACTGTCCTTCCAGAGTGCTGTGCGAGTGAACTGTAGGCGTCATACATGGATTCACTAGGAACCTGTTTAATGTGCATGCGTGCGTGTGTACCTATCTTTTCCCCTTGCTTTGCTGATGCGCAGCTCATGGGCTCAGAGCTAAACATGCCGTGTGCACCCCAGAGTGCTGAGCAGGGGAATGGGACACCCACCAGTGAGGAGACTCTGAAGGAGGGGCTCATGGGCCGCTTTGCAGGGAGGGTCCCTCAGGAAAGGTTTGCACTGGAAACACATCATTTACTTGAGAGCCAGGTGTTAAGATTTTGCCTGGTGTTCATGTCCCTGTCTTTTCCGCCTCAGAAGACATTGCCCCACTCTTGGCATATGAATGAGCATTTGAAAATGGGGAGGGGCCTGTGAGGCTTCTGTCTTTCAGTTTTTCATTCAAGCCTTCTGTGTTCTCTCTACAGCGTTATCAATCGCAAGGCCCGGGCAGTGTACCCTTGTGAGGCAGAACACAGCTCGGAATTGTCATTTGAAATAGGAGCCATTTTTGAGGATGGTAAGTGCTAGCAAGAGCTCTGTGGTGGGAGATCTCACATCTTCCATTAATATCTGCTCATAGATTGCCACCCACTGTTTGTGGCCATGTTTTGACACTTGACTATAGACCCGAGCTCCAGGAGCTGTGTGTTGGTGGTGGGCACAGATTCATCATCATTCATTCAGGTCATGTCTGATGATGGCAAGAAGCCAGTAGCACTTGAAGTTGAGTGCTTCTGATGTGCATCCTTTGTTTTTCTGTTCTTCCACTGTCCCTAACCAAGCTCTTTCGTGCTTCATCTGATCATGAAGAGTGTAGAAATCAGAATGCTTTGACTTCCCTGTCCTGTATGTTGTTGTGCTTTGTGGTTCTCTGCCAACTGGAACAGTGCGCGGATCTGTAGTGTTTGCATTTTAAATAAGGGTGTGGATTTTAGTTGAGTGTTTAATATTCATACACAGACATTTAGGAGCGGTAGCTGTTTTAATATTTCACCAATTTCTCCTCTGCTTCAGTGAATATATTTTCCTCCCTTGCTCTTGGTTTCTTCCCTCCCCGGTCACACTCATTATGAAATTCATTGGTTGCTGTGGAAACAGTGATGAGTGTGGGTGGAGCTCCCCAGAAGGGTTCCTAGGAGGCAGGGGAAACCTTGGAAGCTGGAATGGAATGGCTGGCTAGCCGGTGTTTGGAGTTGGTGGGACGTGCCGCCACCGTGTACCGCGGTAGTCAGAAGTGGAGCATTTGCTGAAGGTTGTTTTGCAGAAAGCAAGTCGCTTCATTTAGAGTAGTCTGTGTGTGTGGAGTAAGCCCCTGCGGCCAGATTCTGATAACATCAGACAACAAACAGCAGCAGCAGCCCTCACACAACATTGTGTTTGTGGAGAAATTCTGGTGTTAAAGTGGAAGCAAGACTGTGCTACATGACATATGCACATACAGCTCCTTCAGGAGACCGCGGTCGCACAGCCTTCCTGTCATGGGCCGTGGCAGCACGTGGTGGGAGGGACACGGTAGGACTGAAACTGTTGGCTTCTTACATTGTTCCGAGCTGCCTTGCATTGTACTGTCGAGACAGTTCTCTCCCTGGAAGAGAATCTGTAAGGATGGCCCAGACTGTGAGGGAAATGCAGACACAGCTGGCCAAGTCCATCATCGCACATTAGTGTACACCGAAGACTGCAAGCCGGTGTTCACGTTGCTTTTGATGTCACCAAACCAAAGTATTCCCACGTTTGCTCAGTGTTCTCAGCTGGAGACGTGGGTCTTTGACTGGTGCCCTTGCTGGATGAGCAGTCCCACTGTTCCAGGCCACATGTAACTCTGGCAAAGAGGATGCTTCCTCTTTGTATTTCTTTTAGAAGAAAACTTTCCAGAACTTACTTCTGAGTTCATCTACCTTTACATGCCTTTGGTTAAAACTGGGTCAAATGTTTACTCTGAACTTGTCACTTTGGAGATGTAACAAATGAGAACCACATTGGATGCATAGCACCTGCTTTGGGCACATGAGACCTCTAAACCAAATCTGGGTCTGTGGCATAGATCAAAGACAAAGGCCAGAAGCCCCAGGTTCTCTACTGCTGAAGTCTCTTGATGACTTTTAGGACTCTTTAAATAGTCATAAAATTTATGTATACTCATATGTATATGTACATAGAGATAAACACACAGACCCCCCCCCCCAAACACAATGAGCTAACAGCAGCTAACAGCAGCCCCGCCCCTTCACTTTCTCTGGAAGCTATAATTGCCCCGTGTATCAGGTTTTTCATCGAAGTCTGCAAAGGATGTATGAGGGTAAAGTAGGGGCTTTGGAAGACTGAGCTTTGAATGCTATAGGCACTTGTTGCTGGCCACCGTGCCATATTCGGGCCCATCACAGCGTGCTGCCAATATGGTTGCATCTAGCCAGGTTATAGCCCCCTTGGTGTCTGTAGTGTGGGTGGCCGGCTCTGCCCGGCATGCTGGCTAGAACACCCTGGGCATCTCCAGAGCTCCACAACCCCTTCCCCAAGGCTGTGTATTCCAGAAAGATCTGCTTGCTGTGCCGTCGCCCTCCGCCTCCCGGCGTGTGGATGCCCTGTTCCCTGTGAGCCCTGTGCCGTACGGTGCGTGCTCTAGTCTCCCATCATGGTGCACACGAGCTCCGCGGAAGTCGTCAGAGTTGGCATGCTCAGGCTTGCTGCTCCTTAGGGACCGGGCTTAGTCTGAAGCCCGGATATAGAGTGCATTATCTCACTTCTGTATGTATCTTTGTCTTCAGTGCACAGTTGACCTCTCACCTTGTGAAAAGCAGATGTTTGCTCAGAATCTTAGTGTCAGGAAAGCCCTTCCTTGAATGGCAGAGGGGTCTTCCCTTCTGACAACCAGCATGGAGTGACACAGTTGATGGATTGTATGACGGTCTGTGGAGCCAGGCAGTGCTCCCAGCAGCCAATATTTACAGCTTGACCTGCAGAAGTGTCTCCAGGAACATTCCCTTTCTGTAGACCTGAGACCGTTGGCTTCCCTGACCCCCAGGACTGTTTTCCTCTGCTCACGGGATGGTGTGGAATCTTCTAGCAATCACAAGGATCCTGCAGTAAATCCGTGTTTGTGCTGTAGGCGAGGACAGAAACCCGTGTATGACAGCCGGTGGCCTGAAGTGACCCCTGGGCTGTATTGTTTGTAGTTAGGGCTTTGGAAGAATCACAAACAGGAATTAGACCAGTGCGTGAGGGAAAGGAGCCTTCGGGAAGTGTGCCGCTCTAACTCTTCGCCCCTTCTCTTCTTACCGTGTGGCATGGGCTGAGGCTACGAATTCAGGTTCTTGGCTGAAGATGCAGTTCTGGAGCTCTGGGAGATGCTTTCATGCTCTACCAGGAAGCTCTGTGCTGTGTGCTCAGGGCAGCTAGCGTTCCTTTCAAAGCTAGAGGAAACATCCTCCTTTCTCTGGGGATGAGGAATCCCAGAAATACATTTTGTTGGTTGTCAGGTATGAATATAGGCTCCGCTGCGTCTACCCCACAGGACTGTCAGGCCCATGGGCACAGGGTTTGCAGGAACTAGCCCACACTTTGTGCCAAAGCCAGAGGCCCCGTGGGCCCAGTGTGTTGGTTGGTACGGGTAGCAGGTGTCAACCAGATTAATCCTTAAAAGCCTCCAGAGATAAAAGGTTTCAAGTACATAGAACAGTCCTTAACATACTGGGAGGCCAGCAGTGTGGGGTCATCTCCACCCAGCAGGGCCTTCCAGATGCATTCTGGGAATCTCAGATGTGTGCATGCAGTGTGATGCGGACTGAACTCAGAAATAAGCAAATTGGCGTCAGACTTGTGGGACAAAAGTGTTTTAACTAAAGCTTAGGAAGGAGAACGAGGAATGTGGCATTTGAGCCCATGGTCTCCCTGGGTAGGGAAGGCTGTCAGGTGGGAGATGGGATGGAATCCGTAGACACATCTTGCAGAGGGCCTGTGCTACCCTCTTGAGGTTGAAGCTGACTTCCTAACGATGTCCTCTACTGAAGACATGCGTCACAGGTATGTGGTTTACACTGTTAGGATGCAGAGGTCCAGACTCCATTCCATCATGGACTCAGCTTTGCGGGAAGTGTTGCCGCTGGTTCCGCAGTCACGGCTGTCACTGCCTGGTGGATAGTGGGATAGTATGGCAAACACACAGGGACAGACCACTTCACACCCATTCCAACATTGGAGAGGGAGACGTGAGTCATTGTCAGTGAGGTTGTAGGAAAATGGGGGCCCTTGTGCAGTTCCCAGGGACTGGGAAAAGGACAGCCACATGGATGATAATACTGTGGCTGCTCAAAAAATGACTAATGGAATCCTGTGACCTAGCAGACCAGTTCTGCGTGTACACGCTAAAGGAGGAAAAGCAGGGATTCTGGTATCTGCCATAAAATGGAAGCATCGCCGCCTTGCTGTGCAGCGGCTAGTTCGCAGTGTAAGAGACCCTTCAGGGTCTCTGCCAGCCCCATCTGTCTGCCAGAGCAGCTGCACTGTGCTCCCTGCCAACCCTGGCCCTGCCCTGAGGTGGTGAAGGAACGAGAGAATGAACAGATATTTCTGAAGTCATCACAGATGAGCCTGGGTGAGCTGTGGTGTCTCAGCTTGAGTCTGCACTCTCCCAGGACACCGTATACAGCAGGTGCCGCATCCCGGGGAGGGGCTTTGGTGCAGGACCCAGCCGGCCTTGCCAGTACAATGTGTGGTTGAAGCCTTTAAGAATAGTGTTTTTAGTAACAAGGTCAAGATAAAGGTCACTGAGGGGATGAGGAAGTGAATTGCTGATTCATCTCGAAAGCATCCCTTAAATTTATTTGCTCATTTATTGCACGAACAATTATGTGTGAGTGGCTGGCTAGGTGCCAGGGAGCATGAGTCCTTATGTGGATGTTCTGCACCTTCAGTTTGTAGCATAGACTAGGAGCCCCACTCTCCTGGCCTCTTCTGCATGCATGAAATGTGTAGGCACACGAGGCCCCTCGTCTGGCCTGGGAAGTGTGGGTCTGTGCTGCCCAGGCATGGCCGCAGTGTAGAGTGTTTGGGGCCCAGGCAGCAACCAAGGGGAAGCCTACAGCTACTTGGCAGATGGAAGAGTATCCGAAGGGCATGGTGATACGATAGCGGAATAGACAGTGCCTCTTTCAAGGGAGGAAACACGTGGTGACCACATTGAGAAGGACGGCCAGAACAGAGCTGTCAGTGTTCTCCAGACATGACTGGGTCATGAATGGCCCATTGCAGTTTGCAGCCAGAAAGCAGGAGAATGAAGAGGGCGGCACACAAAAGGGGAAACACTGCTTTCCGAGACGGCATAGTGTGTGTGCCTGTGCTATTTTAGACCGAAAACTATTCCGTATAAAGTCATTCCTGCTGGCTGTGGTCCAAAGCTGCATTTCAGAGGTGGTTTCTGCGTTGTTCCTGTAAACAAGCGCTGCCCACCCAGGCACATGGCTGCCGCCCCTGCCATCATTGGTGTTTCGGCTGGGGTCCCATACACTGTTTCCTGTTTGATACCAAAATGCTAGCTTGCCGGCTTAAGCCCCGAGTTGAGTCCTCTGCCATCTAGTCTGGGCCTTGTTATGTGGCTATCACAGGTATGTACCAACTCCTCCAGTGTTCTGGGCACTGTGCTCAGGTATGTAAGGCCCAGGCCGGCCTGCAAGAAGGAGCTCCCTGTCCAGTGAGGGAGTGGATCAGTGTGTGGCTGAACAGGCCAAAGCAGGCCTCCCTCAAGGGAAGCCATGAAGAGTGTTCTTGGGAGGCAGTAGGAAAAGCAGCAAGCGCAGTTCTAGGCAGCAAGCACAGCGTGTGGCAAGGCCCATCTGGGCCTACTCTGGCTAGTGCAGGCGCACTGGCTGACTGACTGACGGGAGGGAGCACAGGGGCTGCTGGAGTGGTAGGAGGGACGTGGTGCACCGGGTCGGGAAGCTCCGTTTTGACTTGAAGCGGCAGAAAGGTGTGCTCGGCTTGGTGTGCCAGAGTTTATTGAGCAGTTCTGTGCACAGTGAACGAGAAGGAGCAAGATGGGGAACGGGGACTGGATCGGTGAGCTAGGCCAGTCCTGGGCAGGAGCTCGAGTGGCAGTTCAGTGCTCAGGAAGTGATTCTGTTCTTCACTGGCTGCTCTGTGCCTGGGCCTGTGTGCAGAGGGATAAGCCCCGGGAGCCAGCTGCTGACAGTGGTCTCTGTTCTTTTCCAGTTCAGACCTCCAGGGAACCCGGCTGGCTGGAAGGGACCCTGAACGGCAAGCGAGGGCTGATTCCACAGAATTATGTCAAGTTGCTGTAGCTCTAGGCCTTGGGGGCTCCAGCCGATCCTGTCACCCACACACCAGCCTGGAAACAGCACCCAAACGCCACGGTCACGCTCAGGGACTGCAGATCACCAGGGGCACTGCAGGCCTGGGGGAGGGGGATGGACCTGCCACGGAGGACTGTGCAGACGTGGGCATCACAGAGAGCGTGGGCAGCATCGGTGGCGTGTATTCTGACTCAGCAGGCACTGGGCCTGAGATTTTCAGTTCTCCAGCCTGTGGAGGCAGACACCACTGGTGACCACACTGTCAGGCATGGCAGGACCCTGCTCTCCACTCACCTGCTCTCGGGCTCCCGGGGGGAACTGTGCTTCTCTGGAATTTCGTGTCCAGAGCACCTCTGGTTTTTGCGGGTGCAGGGGAGTTGTTCCCAGCCTGGAGCGAAGCAGAGAGAAGCTTTTTCAAGCCCGTGCCTTCCTGCCTGCCTCTGCCAACCCCCAGGGCAGCTGTACCAAAAGCTCATCTGCATGCTTACAACAGTCTTTCCCAGGTGCTCACCTGAGTGTTGTTTGTCCCTTGCCACCTTGTTGTCACAAGGCCCCTCTGTAAATGAAATAAAATGTAATTTACTATTTGCTGTGTCTGGCCCAAGTCACCTCGGTGGTGGTGATTCAGGATTTGAGTGTCACAGTGAGTAGATGGTGTTAGCGCTTTAGAACCTTGTTATTTGCAGCAGAGAAGAGAAGAAATCCCTGCGTGGGGAGATCCAGTCTCCTGTGCGGGCCCTTCTTCCAGGAGACAGTGGGATGGGAACCGGTCTGTGGTAAGTATGTGGGTGAGCTGCAGCCGGCCTTCCTGACTGGCTTCCTTGGCAGATCTCTCTCATACCACCCAATATGGCCTTGCCTTCCAGGCCTCAGCATGAACTTTCCTTAGCTTGATGAAGCCAGGCTTTGGGAAGGATGGATTGGGAGCTGTTGTAGCAGGAAATGCTCTGTTCTTCCTCATTCTCCTCAGCCCCAAGTCGCACTGCAGGCCTAGGCGTGGCCAGGACATTTGGGGAAGTGCGGTGTTGGCAGCCGGGACTGGGAAGTGAGCTCTGTCAGAGGGGAGGGTGCTGACGTATAACCTCCATTAGGTTTCTGACCCTGTCTGGATTTTCTAAGGATCTATCAGGATGTTGTCTCCCCAGACTGACTCTGGAGTCTGCTGCTTTACAGGTAAATGGCTGTGGAGTCACACCATGGGGGTGTCATGAGTAAGGGCATCACATTTGGAGTTGCTAAGTTTGGATCTAGAATGTTCCCCAAAGGCCCTTGTGTTAAAAAGGTCTTGTCCCCAGCCTGTGTCACTGTGTGGGGGAAGTTACGGGACACAAGTCTTTCTCTTTCTCTTTTGTGTCTTCATTGTCTGGTGAGCAGCTTACCACAGGCTTCTTGTCTTATTCTGCCACACTTCCAAAGCTCACCCATCATGAAGTGCCACATTCAAGAGCAAAAATAACCTTTAAAAGTTCATTGCTTTGGGTATTTTGTTGTAGTCCCAGAAAGCTGAAGACAGAAGTCTCACGAGGACTAGAGGAATGTGCTTTTTGGAAGTGTATAATCTGTAAAAGAAAGTAAGACCATTTCTTTACAGTATAAAATGCCAAACCATAGGCTCTGAGGGAAGAGTTGGGACCCAAGGAACCCAGGCCTGCATTGCAGTGGCTTAGCTTGAGTGGCCACGCTGACCCTGAATGAAGGGTCGGAACCTTTGGGGCCCTGTGTTCTGGGCTGTCTTTTCCTGCTGTGACTGTAATGAAAACGCTTGTGGAACAGATGCGCATCCGTGCAGGTGTGGTGGCTCGGCACTGAGAGACTCCGGGGGCCTGGCACGACCAAAGGGGCACTAGACCCAACCCACCGGAGCAAGATTTGATTTGTTTGCTGGCTTGAGGAAGAGTTTCTTCCCTCAGAGTGCGGCACACCCTCCTCAGACCTTCGCATTGGATTGTGGAAGTCACCACAGCCCGCCTGTCTCCACAATTTTGTCCTACTTCCTAAAAGGAAAACTAAAGTATAAAGTTGAAATGCATGCGTGAAAGCAAGGCGACAGCGATGGGCTGCCGGTCCCTTTCTCACAGTTGCTTTCACATTTGTTGTCAGTGTCTTCTGTGTGGCATGGCATACAGTGGAACGGCAAGGCCCCAGAACGGTGTGGCTGAGTAGGTTTCCTGTGACCCCCAAGAGCTGCAGACCTGTGTTTATCTAGGGGAAAACAGGGAGTGCCAGAGGAAAAGTCAAGGGTGTTTCTATCAGAATATGGCCCAGGAGCAATTTGGCTCAACTTGCCATCACCACAGGGCAGAGAGCTTAGCCCTGGGCAGGGCCCAAAATCCACACAATAATGAGAGCAGGGGTGTCTGGTTACACCTGGGATCATTTCTCATCTCCAGAGAAGAAGGTTGTGTTTTGCAAGATGGGAGTGGCTAATCCTGGGACCATCTCCAGGAGGCTCCCAGCCTGAGTGTTCTCTCAGGGCTTGACAGTAGCTCCGTCTCTCGCTTTCAACAGCAGCAGCTGTTGGGGTAGCTCCAGTTGCCCCAGCTACAGGACTAGATCCCCAGCTTTCGTTGGTACAGAGGCCCTGCAGAAGTCTTCATGTATGGGTCTCCATCTGTGAAATAGAGAAATCAAGTGCCGTTGGGATTTTTGGTGACTGCACACCATGTCTGAGTGTGAGCTGCAGGAAAGTCTGTAGTAGACTGGGAGTGGGAGGGAGAGGCAGGCTCTGGTGGCTTTGCGGCTCTTGTCATGGTTTGGATCTCATGAGTCTGTCAAAATTCCATGTGTTGAAACCCCAGCCTAGGACTCTACTGGGGACCTTTAACACGTGGCACTTACTCAGACAGCAGGGGCATGGCCTAAAGGACAAGAGCTCTTCATCTCTCTTTGCTTCCTGGAGGTTCCGGGATGAGCCGCTTTCCTTTATTTCATGTTTTCTGCTGTGGCAGGACACCCTTTCACAGGCCACAGAGTTGGCCAACCAAGACCTCAGAAACTGAAAGCCAGCCTTCTGTTGATCTAGAACCAAGCTCTTCTGTCAAGAGCTTCCCCAGTGTGAATGTGGGCTTGACCCTGGAACTCAGTTTAGTCAGGGGGACAGAGGGACAGCAAGTCTGAAGGAGTGAGAGGTTACACAGAGCAAAGCTACCATAGACAGCTGCAGGCTGAGCACACGTGGACAGATGAGCCCAGCCCAGTTTGGTCCTAACTAGCAGGTTCCCCGACTGGAGAGAGACTAAAATCTAGTGGACAGATCTGTCTGCTGTAATTCTGCCCTGTGCTTCTCTTGGCTTTGGTCAGCACTGATCTGCCCCCAATGTCAAGGTCCTCTCCTAATGTTCCTCTCTGTAATGCTGTTTGGGACACTGCAGTTGTTTTTCCAGTGAGACGGCTGCTCTAAGAACCAGGTGGCTTGAGCAGGAAGTGTTGCTACACCTGTAATCATCTTAGTCTGCAAACACCTGTATCCCTCATCAAAAGGCTGGCGATTTCCGTGAGAAAATGTCTCCTCAATGCAGTGAGCCCCTTACTCTGTGGCACATGGCCCTGTCTTTAGTGCTGTGGCGGTCCGTCAGAGCTGTCCTGGCGGCCGGCTGTCAGCTAGTGCTTCCTAATGGGGAACTGACATCTTTTGGCTGGCCCACAAATTGCTTTGTGAAATTCTTAAAAGCAAAATAAAGGCTCACTTGACTCAAGATCAAGCCTCCCTCGTCTGAAGGCCATCTGCTTTTCCAATGGCACACGTGGGCTAGGGCCTCTCAGCAGGCTTGCATGTCAGGATGGCTTTTGTTTCAAATCTAAAGCTAGCTGTGAAAAGCTTTGCTCCGTAACAGGTCAAACTTCTTAAAATTTTAACGTATAGATTTGCTTTCACTTACAGATGTTTGTTTTTTTTCTCCCAACCCCCATTTGCACACCAGTGCCTAGAGCACATCTTCTAGGCTGTGGGCAGTGGCTACAGCTGTGTGTTCCAGAAACGTATCTGTTGTGCTTAATCAAGTTTGAACTTGTCTATCTCCCAGGTTTCTCTTTTTGAAGGCCAATCAATCATCACCCGTTAAATGACACGTTGCTTGAATTTATCTGGGAGGGAATGTTTTCTCTGTTACATGAACTGGTTTTCTCTTTTAACATGAACCTTTTTTTTTATGGTCACAGACAGTGGGGAACCATCAGGGCTTGCAGGTGGCTTGGGGAAAAAGCATGACCACACGGAGGAAGAGCTCTGGATTCAGCTGGCGTGGCAGTCTACATAAGTAAGTCTCGAAGTCTTGTGAGACGCCTGAGGCCATGCTAAAGAGAGTCAACATGGCTGCGTGGCAACCAGCAGTGTGACAGTGTTATGGAAGAGTTTAGGGAGCTAGATATTAGCCACCGACTCATGGTGACTCAAAGAGAAGGCTGATTATGTGGCATGGAACAGGGCCATTTCTAGCCCCAGACAGAATGCCAGCAGCTCCGGTGCTGGCTGCAGGCAGACGCGCACAGGATCAGAACATGGAAAGGCTCGAAGTCCCGACGAACCTCTAGGCAGTGGAATGAACTAGTTCCAGAACCACAGGTGATTAAAGTAAAGGATTTATTGTAATCTGCTTACAGTCCTTTGCAAAGACAGACATTTTTGCATAAAGATATAAATTGCTTCATTTTAAACTAATTTAGTGTTTTAATTATATGAAGTTTTGGTGAATTATGAATTGTACCAAACCAAGATTTTTAAGAGCAATATGGTACAAAAATAAGAGCAGACAGACAGTTTGGCCTGGGACAGGCATTCAACAGTGAATTTAGAGAATATGGCTTTGCTGTTTAGTTAAGCTGAGTTACCCAGAGACACAGGATCCAGTAACTTCATTAATACAAAAAGCTAATGCAGACCTCCTCCACCTCAGGCCCGGCTAAGATGGAATTCCAGTTTCATTAAGAGTTAACTCGGCTCCTTTGCCCCAGAACCCCTCATCTGCATGCCGGGGATCACCACCTTTGAAGTGTGGCTTTCATATTGCTGTGCGTGTAAGTTGGCTGCGTTTAAAGATCTGCCTATAAATTAAATTCTTGAAATTGCAACGGATGTAAGAAAGGCCCCTCCCTCTGAGTTCAGCGGCCCTGGGCTTCCCCTTGCAGAAGGCAGGCATTGTGAATGACAAGGTAATGTTGCCTGCACGGTGAACCCTGTGGGAGAGCGCAGGCCCACTGGAGCCTTGTCCCAGCCTCCTGCTTGGGCGTTTTAGGTGTTGGGAATTTGTGTGATTTTGCGGAGTACTAATGAGAGTCATCACCACGTTTGAAAGATTAACTTGGCCTCTATTCAAAGATTACTTAGTGCAATCATCGTGTGCTTCCCCAGAGACATGCAGGTTTGTGATTCGGGAAAGGAGAAAAGCCATAAATTGCATCAGTATTGGACAGATTAATAAATTAAAATTTTAGTGCCACTGCCTTGCTTATGTGATTTGTAGTGTTTTTGTGTTTTTTTTCCTCCAAAACTGTTTATGTATAAAATTTTCATTTTTAAAACCTACCTTTAAAAAAATCTAAAAAGCTTCTAGTGATCTGGGGGGTCTCCACACCATCCTGATTGACTCTTGCCCAGATGGGTTGCCCCAGTGCCTCCTGCCATGATTGCTGCCCCATGACCAGCTCCAGGCGTGAAGAACCCTGTCCAAAGCCAGAGGTCACTTTCTGATCTTTGACAGACGTGGAGGGTGCATGGAATTTTTCCCCCAGAGAAGAAAATCAGATTTCCTAAAATGGGAGAATTGTGCTCTCTGAGCCGAGTTTCTAGGTTCTGCTTTTTGTGGAAAAGGGGAAGGACAGCACTCTCAGGACCTCGGTCCAGTGGGCACTGCCACCTGCCAGGAGCTGCAGACACTGTTGTGTTATCCCCGATGGAAGCAGGAAAAAGCAGAAGCCAGAACCACTCACTGGAGTCTTGAAAATTCCCCACTCGGGAGACCAAGAAAAAAAATGTTACAGAAAAAGTAGAAAGGCTTAGAGACAACCAAAGAAGTTTAAGTGTGGCTATTTACAACAGAGACTATAAAGTGGTAAATTAGATATGAAGCTAAAAAAAGGCACAGCTTTCCCTTTCTTAAATACACTGTAAACGGTTCAGTACGCATGCAGAGCATCTCACGTTACAAAAAAAAGTTTTACCTTGTTTAGACAAAGATAGTACTTAAATAGTCTCCAGCAAAATAGAATTCTTTCAAAAATACTTTCCCATTCATCCTATTAACCATTAAAGATTTTTTTTTTGTATGTGTCTCATTTACAAAAGTTCCTTATACCTTATTTCAGGCCCTTCACAATTTATACATACAGTAATGTACAGCACAGCAAAAGACTGCAAAAAATTATTTGTAAAGCCAACACAATAGATACTAGAAATCGAAACCAAGGCATTTAACATCTTACCCATTCTAATTAAATAGTAAATGGACGCTAACGAGTGTGTATGCCAGCGATGCAGAAAAACGTGCCCAGAAGGCCGCAGTTCCACGCCACGTGTTCTGATGTTATACATCAGGAATCTGTATGTATTTTTGTGTTTTTTGTGTTTTTAAATAACAAAAGAATATTAATGCCCCATATTGACTAGACATTTTATGTGCAAACCAAGGGTAAGCTTTAAAAAGTTCTCTAGTCCTTGAACCCTTTGAAAACAATCAAGAGATACCAGAAACTACATGGCATAGTTAAAACTTCCATCTGTTAAAATATCAAAATCAGAGTTATTGACTAGATATGGCTTTTCATCCAGAGAAACAGGAACGTTTTTTCTAAGCGCTGGGAGTAGAGAGGGAAGAGTCTTTTAGCCAGCTCAGGCCTTGCCAAATCCACGTCTCATGGCTTTCTGGCCTCCAGACCCTTGATGTGATTTTAAACTTGAGAAACCGTTGAACGAGTGTGAATCAACAATCACATTTAACATGTGATTTCTTGGGTCCTTCGTAGGTGTAGAACTTAAGGCAGAGTTCTTCCTGACTGACATCTTCCATCACTTCCTGTGAAAGTAAAGGGGCTTGGCGTTCCCGGACTCCACCTTTGGCAGCTGGTCGCTGATGATCTCCACCAGCATGGCGGGAAACTCCACCTTCAGAGCCTGGGACTCTCGAAAGGTGTAGAAGCAGAATTCGAGCAGGTCGCTTACCAGCTGCAATACAGAAACACAGCCAGCATGACACAGGGCCTCACCTCCAGGTCCCAGCTCCACCACAGCCTAACCCTGGATGCAAACACAGGCAGTGACACTCAGGAAACCCTGGTATAGTATAGTCATGTTTTCTGGGGGATGAAGAAGTATGTTCCTGTCACATGTCATCCAGTATCTTCATGCTAGACAAATTCAGCCAAGAGCTACAACTGTGTAGCATGAAATGAATATCCAGCACACACGGAACAGAAATGAAGTTAACAGTGCCTGGTCACAGAAAGGCCCCTCAACGAGTTCTCACTTGCAAGCTTGTGAATCGGTTAAATCTGGAACATGTATCTCTATGCAGACACCCCAGAGGGTTAGAAACAAGAGGTGGTCTAGCTGGGGGTCTGATGTCTCCATGGCTGGCCAGCAGATCTGAGGCAGCCACCACTGTCTCAGGGCTCTCTGCCCTGAGCTGAAGCAAGGCTGGGGCTCCTCAGCTACGCAGCACTTCTGGCTGGCTTTGAGAAAATAAAAGCCTTGAGTTATGGGTTGTCTGATAAGTGTGTTGTTCAAGAGTCTTTTCCACTCTTTTTGGACATGAACCACTTCAAGCTAGGGACAAATTGCAAAAACCTGTAAATATATTCATGTTGCTAATGAACTTAAAGAGAGTGAAAAGTGTTGAGTGTAAACATCCTAATTGATCAGACGAGAGAAATCAACCTAAAGGTAGATCGGTTTATACATCTCATTTGAAAAGGAAATGAAGAATGTGACCACTCCTGAAAGACTGTTAACTTAGCAAATTTTGTATTATTGGAGCCAACACCGGATGGGAGAAAACATAAACAACTGCTCAAACTTCCTAAATCTTGGGTAACCCATGTGTCTTTGGACAATAAATACAGTCAAAATGAAAACACAAAGCGGGGGGGAAGCATCCAAGGTCCGGGATATCTAGGGTAGAAGAACTGCATTTGAAATGGCTCAACAGTGATGCCAAGCACCAGCTGGCTTTCTCACACAAAATAATCAGAGTAACAGTTGCACTGGGAGGAGAATGATCTCTGGGAGGATACCACGGAAGAGAAGCAGAACATTCCTGTCCTGTGGCCCTAACCGGAGCAGGGGCAGCCCCTTCCGCAGTGTGTGTATATGAGGATGTGTCCCAGCAGACTCCGTACACATCCCGCTAAAATGGCAAATCCACAAAACAAACTGAAAGGATTAAACACCACCAATACAGCAGTCCACTAAACTAGAATGAAAACAGACTAACAAAAAGATGCAGGCTGGGTGAGTGGATTAAGAACAAGAAGACGACTACCAGAAGCTCACTCTGCCAGTAAAGGCACAGACTGAAGGTGGAAAAGGAGATTCAAAATACACTGATGATCCGGAGCAGCCAAACAGCAGAACATTATAATAAAATAGTCTAATTAAACCAAAGGGGGAAAAGATCCTAAAATATATCCATAACTGATTTGTTTCACAAGAGTTGTTTTGTTTTGTTTTTTTTTTTTAAGTACAATGGGAAAAGTACTTCCTCTCCAGTAAATGTTGCTGGGAAGACTGAGTATCCACAGGCAGAGGGTAGAAGGTTGGTCCCCATCTCTTCCATGTATAAAAGTCCAGTCAAGATGGACCAAAAGCCTAAATGTAAAACCTAAAACCCTTAAGCTACTTGAAGAACACATGGAAGAGAGTACAGGGCATGGACTACAAACAATGGTTTTCTCTGTATTGTTCCAATTTTAGTATGTGTGCTGCCGAAGCGAGCATAAATGGTTTCTCATTAGGAACCCAAACAGAGAAACAAGCGAATACACTGATGAATAAGGATCATATCAAACTAAAATATTCTGTTCAGAGAAACAACAGAGTGAAGAGAGAGCCTACAAAATGGAGAAAACATTCACCTGAGGGTTAATGTGCAGAATATGTTTTTAAAAATTGATGGATCCACTGAACAAGCGATCCAATTAAAAGCTGTGTATTGTCTGTATGGATGCTTCCAAGTAAACAGTGGCCAACAAATAGATGGAAACACTGATGATAAGCCAAAATCAAAACAAAGAAACCAACTCAGACTCATTAGCCACCAGGAGTGTACAAGTCCCTCCCACACGGAGAAATGCGTTCACCAAGCCTAGCATGGCTGCTGTGGAGAGTTGCTGACAAAGGACAAGGAGAATGGACTCGTGCACTGCTAAGGGAAGTTTAAATTAGTACACGCAGTGTGGAGAAGAGCATGGCTGCTCAAAAAACCAAGCCTGCCATATGACCCAGTTAACTTATGGGAGTGAAACCAGCATCTTAGAGCAAGCCATGATTTGTGATGCTGTTCACAGTGGCCAAGGTAGGGGGTCAGCCTGCATGCCCGCCACCAGATAAAGGGTAAAGAAACCGTGGTCCATGCACACAGGAGCCAGAGCTGCTAGCCCATGGACGACGAAATCCTATTTGTAGCAAAAGAAAGGGAACGGGATGATATGTTCAGTGAAGTAAGCCAGGCACAAAAGGACAAACATTTTGTGGGGAGGTTTAAAAAGTTAAGCTGGAGCAGCCTTGCAGGCCACAGAGGAGGACATTGCAGCCAGTCCTGATGAGACCTGATAAGCTAGGGTCAGATGGAAGGGGAGGAGGACCTCCCCTAGCAGTGGACTTGAAGAGGGGAATGGGAGATGAGGGAGGGGGCTACAGCTGGGATACAAAGTGAATAAACTGTAATTAATATAAAAAATAAAAAATTAATGAAATAAAGCTTGAACTGAAAATAGAATTTTGATTATTAGATATTGGAAAGGGAAGTGGTTAAAGGGGTGGTTGATCAGTAGAGATAACAAAAAGCTTAAGGCAAAGAATGAAAAAAAGGCACTTGTGAGGCAATCTGAGAAATGGAGTGTCTGAAAGAAACCTTGCACATTAGAAAAACACGGATGATGCATTTAAAGCCTGAAAAGAAAAAGTTGGCAACTCCATACTACACTGAGCAAAACTGCTAAAAAATGAGGGAGAAATATTTGTCAGCACATACACAAACCTAAGCAGTTCATCCCTATCGGAGTTCCAGAGTAGCTCTACCAGGAATGCTGATGGGGCCTATACCAGGAACTGAGGATCAATAACTACCGTCTTGGACAGATGTAAAAATGCAAGACTATGCCATACAGCAGACACATAGAAAGACAAGGCAATGGTAAGGTTTTTTTTGATGTTGGAACTCAAAGATGAGCAGTGAAGGACAAAAGGTACAATAAAACATGAAAGAAATTAGCACAATTACAGGTGTGTCTTCAGCTATCAATGATAATCTTAAGTGTAAATAATTTTAGAATATCTACTTTAAATGAGCTTGTGAGGGTACCAGACTCAAAGAGGAAACTCCTTCATTGGAAAGTTATGCCCTATCTCTTCTAGTCTGAGTACTTAAGAGAGAACAGAATCCAGATAGACAGCTAGGTAGATCATAGGCAAATAGATGACAGATATTGATATAGACGGTAGAGATAAATACAAAGATCACATAGATGCAACCAAGTAGGAAGACTTTACAGTAAAAAATGCTAAAGGGGGAATCTGAGGTGGCTCAGTGGGTGAAAACACTTACGGAGCAAGCATGGAGATGTGAGTGCAAATCCTAACCTAAAAGCTTGTATGTGGCTATAGCCATGCCTGCAATCCCAGAGTTGTGAGGGTGGAGATAGAAGAATTGCTGTGGCTTGTGGGCTTCTGGCTTCCCTCTAGATTGCGTCAGAGACCCTGCCTGAAGTTTGAAAGGCTGAGGTGGTAGAGCAGGACACCTGAAGTGCCCCTCCGGCGTCTGCATTGATACATATGCACACTCACATACACACAGCCGAAGAGAAATAAACTCGCCATATAATGATAAAGGAATGAATCAGTATTAGAGGATGACACTTATACAAATACACATACTTAAAATGGAACGCGTAATTAATTACATAATGTTAACATTCAATAAAAATGTGGGATACAACGTAATGTAGTATCTGGAGGACCTTAAACCCCACTTACATCATTAGATGGCCCAGATTAAAAACCAACAAAAAACCCAAAAAGAAAACAAAATCAAACCCCCTGCAATTAAGACTATATTATAGACCAATCAGAACTCTGACATCTCCAGAGCATTCCTACCCTAGCTGCAGAGGACATGTTCTCAGCAGTGTGCGCACAGGAAATTTTCTAAGACCATTCCAGACCACAAAAGTCTCTCTTGAGTTAAAAACAAATACATTATAGCGTGCATCCCTGTACCACAATGTTATGAAAATCAAAAGTAGTGCCCAGAACTTCAGAAGTTGTATATGCACATTAAACATTATTTTGAATGACCAATAATCAATCAAAGGGGAGATATTAAATTTTCTTGATATGATGGTATTGGTAAAAGCAATGCCAAGAGGGAAACATATTAAAGAACCTAGTGATATAATGCAAGAAAGAAAAAAAAATCAACAACAAAATCAAAGTGAGTAGAAGGAAAATAACAGATTGGAGTAAGAGAAGGAAAACAGGGCCTTGGTAAACAAAAGAACCGCTGTGCTGGTGCAGGGCTGCAAACCTCGCACTTGTGAGAATAGGGTAGGAGCACTGATGTGAATTCAAAGCCAAGATGACAGAACAGACCCTGTCTAAAAATAAAGAGAGAAACGGACAAGCTCGGTAGACAAGCCGTGTCAGGAAAAAGAGTCAAAGCAGACGTGGAGAAGAACACACACCACAGAAATCGAGCTGAAATCTGTTCTTTCAAGATCAGGAACAAGACTCAGTGGTCCAATTCAGTATAGTGATATTCTAGTCAACACCTACCCCCATTGAGTTCAATATTAGGGCAATATGGGAAGAATTAGGAGCATCCAAGTAGGAAAGGAGGGAGTAAACTTGTCCCTGTTCAGAGACAACTTGATTGTAAATATATAAATAAAGCTAGAGACCACACAATTGTTAGAGCTACAGCTCTAACAATTCTAACTTCACTAAATCTA